TTTTCTATAACATTTTATTACCAGCCTAGGTCTCCTTGAAAAGGTAGAGATAGATATTCCAGAGGTCCTTGGCACTTGGTTTTGTCAGCCATGTTGAATTTATGTAGTCATAAATAAAAAACAAATACCATAAAGTGTATAAAGGTAATCACCCATAGTTGTTTGAATGTAACATCACAACGTGAATGGTTAAAAATGACTTTTAAAGATCTTTCCATTGTAGACACCATATATCAGAGGACTGAACAAGCAATTGACTGAAAGTGTCTGTAAATATCCTTGTACAATACAAATCTGTATTCAATACGAGGCCTTTAAACCATGCTGATTTATTTGCCCTATATGTATTCCTGCCTGCACACGTTTGCGTCAACTGCCTCGTGGTGCTTAAAGGGAGATCAGTGCTCTCAATTTCCCATTTTCTGTATTGTGTACAGACTTATTGCAGAAAGAGATAGAGATCAACCAGTTATGCCTTTTAACTTGCTCTACAGCATACCAGTGAGCTCCTCATGGGATGGGATATTTTTCCCCTCTAAGCCTTATGTTTAAACGTATGTCCACATCAGGTGTCCCATATGGTTGAACAGACCAGTGACCACACACTCATTTAAAGAGCCAGAATCCTCTCATGCAGTCAGTTGCAGACCTGACAATGATTAATTGGGGTACAGGATTATTTGCTTCAGCGAGCCCTGCACTGCAGACCTCAGATAATTGCACCAGGTGACAACGAGGAGGATTTTCTGTCCCGCATGAGTTTCATGGGATCCGACACGACAAGGTTTACTTGGTCACCCATTGTTGTTATCTGTGAACGGTAGTAGAATAAACAAGTTCTGACCTATCTGGGATTTGAAGGTGTTGCAGTGGAGGATTTTGTAGACAAAGACGATGTGCAATGCCAACGGTAAACAGGCCTAGACATGGATCAAGCCTGGACGCCTGGCAATAGTAAAGCGAAATAAGTCAAAACTGTGTTACAAGTCAGTGCACAGCATAAACAAAACAAAACACCTGTATAGATTTTTCTGTTTTTTATCTGTTAACATACTTTCTCCTACCCCAGTCAGGTCTCAGATTTAACTTTTTTACTTGGTAGCACTTGTGCTCCCAACTTCAAAAAGTTAGGAGCACCAGCAAAATTTTAGGAGTGCCCACTAAAAATTAAGGAGCACCACAACTGCCAATCGAAAAGAATGGCCGGCAACATAATGCCGATTAAAAGCAATCAATCGAACCTGATCTTTTCCACACACTTGTCCTGGCATTTCTTGTTGATGTACTGATCCTGATTTTCCATGGCTGATTTCGATTGCCAATGTTTTACAAGCAAACGGCCTAATTCTGATATAGCCGATTTTTTTATTTTATTTATTTATTTATTTTATTCAAGAGAGAAGAAAGAATGAAAATATGAGTACATGAACAAGATGTTTATTTGCTCTATTTCAGGCCGAACTCTATGTAGCCGTTTAAAATGAGAGGCAACCATTGCATTTTAATCATGATCCAAACAATGATGCTGCATACAGTAATGAGCAGTTTCAGATTTAAATTAGATATAATTTGTATAATTTCAAACTTTGAAGCAAAAACCAAATGGTCTGAATTTAGCTTTGTGAAATTATGCTACATAAAACCTATCTGATTCTGAACAAAACAAAAACAGCAGACTGGCTAAATGAAAATGTTAATTCACTCTCTTGACAGCAGGTGGTGCTTAGGGAACAGCAGAAATACAGTGTTTTCTTGGATACCGCTGTAAACAAAGCAGCTCTGCGCTTATAAGCACGACTTTAAAAAGCATTATACAGAGGTATAATGAAATGAAGACAATAAGAAAGACACTCAGAAATACATTCATATAAACCCCCATCAATTAGACCCCTACAGTATATATAGGCGTTTTGTTTAAAAGTAAACATAAGAATGTTTTCAAATATTGTTACAATTTAAAATAACTTTTCCATTTTTATACAATTTTAAAATCTAATTTATTCTTGTGATGGCAAAGCTCAGTTTTCAGCAGCCATTACTCCAGTCTTCAGTGTCACATGATGCTTCTAAAAAAGCAATTTGTATATACCGAGTCAATGCTCTAGATACATTTATTATTATTAACAATGTGGATTGGTGTTTGGTAACACAATTGACAGAAAAATTACCAAAGGCTGGAATACACTACATGACTTTTAAAATCAAACACTAGGAATCATACACTTACCGACTTTGCAAATAGTGACAAAGGAAAACTGACCACATGACTGAGGATCATACACTACCAGACTAACAAACTCATGCAAAAACATGTGCTTTGTTGCTAGGAGATTTGTGAGAAAATGAAAACAATATGTGCTCTAAAATCGGCTGAAAATGTCAAATATGTTTGATAGCCTCCGAATGGATAGAATCTGAGTCTGAAGAGTCTGAAGCTAAAAAAAATCAGAGTCTGTGACCACCGTACACTATGCGATTTTCTATGGAATGTCAACTCAAATCTACAGACTGGCTCTGACTTTTGGCATCTAGCATCAACTTCTCCAGACAGTATATTGGCGGAAAATTGGGGCAAAAATCATGTAGTGTATTCCAGGCTTACGTTGGCCTTTAAGGAACAGTAGTTTGATTATTGTATAAGGCCATGTTGCCATTTTCATCAAGATAACCAGGCTGCCTTGCCCTTCCTTTTCCTTACAGTTTGACCTTACATCAAATCATCAACCACAGCCTCATGATTCAGTTCATTTTTTGTCACTTGATTGAATGTATCAAGTATATACAGTATATACTGTATATGTGCCCATCAACTTTTGACTGTATCTGCTGACTGAATCAGATAATCCGAAATATGACTCCGACTGGTTGAATCATACCCTCATTCTATAAAACCTCACCTTCTGTGACTACTCTCTAACACACATCTGTATTTCTATCAGTGATATGTTCTGACTTAATATGTTATAGAACTGACTCGCTGGTTACTAATTTAAAAATGACAAATACTTTACCACTCATCCTTATTATGTCATTGTGCTGACGGTGTTATTAATCATTGTGTTGGTATTGCTCAGGTAACTAACAGCAAACCTTGAGTAAACATGACGTTGACACCTGTAAACAGATATTTACATGCATTGTGCTTTCCGTCAGACTGAGAGTTCATGAATGTTTTACTCTTTTCAGATACTGACCGATATGCTAAATTCCACCTTGTGATAAAATCAACATCTCTCTTTCATGACGGGTATAAAACAAGCAAGGGCTGAGTCTCAACATGGGGCAACCTGCCCGAGCTCAGCATCGGCAATGAGTCTGGCAAAGCACCAGTTTTGGGTTGTTCTGACCACTATCCAAATCGAGGTGAATCCAAGCAGAACAGAAAATTCATGCTGGGCTAAAAAAGCAGCTGGCAGTTGAAATTTTAACAGCCAGATCTGTTTTTTCCATTATAGACATAAGTTTTTTGGGGGAAGTCTGCAGGTCCAGGTATTGTCTGTGTTATGATACACAGAAATAGCTTGTTTAAATGGTACATATAGTAATAGTAGTAATAATAGTTAAATTGTAAAGGAAGTACACAAAACTCATTGTCTTAAAAGAGCTGCTGTGTCCACGGAAATGGAGAACAAAACAAGTCCTCTCTGCAATTTTGGCTCACATAATTAATGTAATTATCTTGTTCAGATTTTTTATCTTCATAATGGTTGATGATTAGATAGAGAGAGAAAAACAATCCTGAAGAAGGCTCTAGTCTCTCAAGCTACATATGATTATGTGCAGGACTTTTTATATGTTTATGGTAATGTGTTTGTATTAGGGATGCACCGATATGAAAATTTTGGCCGATACCAATAACCGATAATTCTTTATTTTTGAAAGAATCGGCCAAATTTTCTTATCGGGCCGATACCGACAACAGAAAAAAATTAGCATTTATCGGCAGATACCGATATGGTGGCTGATATATCGTGCATCCCTAGTTTGTATACACTGAAGTGTCATGTGACATTGAAGACTGGAGTAATGATGCTGACAAATTCAGGTTTGCATCACCGGAATAAATAATTTTATAAAATAAATAATAATAACTGCATGTATTAATAAATTATATAATGTAAAATATATTAAAATAGAACACAGTAATTTTAAATGGTAATATTTCACAATATTACTTTTTTTTCAAATGAATGTAGCCTCTATGAGCATTCTTCTCTGTCTGCATTAAATAATGACGCAAATAAGAATATTGATGCTTTAGTTATTTTTCTACAATGGCAAACCCATCAAGACGTATGCTATGGTGTGTGTGTTTCCTGCTTTTGTGCAGGCAAGAATTTTATCCAGAGCATGTGGAATACCTCTCTCCAACCCGAGGGCAGTGTGGAGAGAGTATTTTAGAGTGGAGAGCTTTGGGGAGATGAACATCAGGATGTGACAGGATAAGTGATCCAACCGTCCGTAGGAAGTTGTCACTCAAGTCCAAGACCATCTGTTACGTTAGTCTGTGGCACATTGGATTCAGTCCTTGTTGTGTGAACAGGAAGGACTGCAGAGTTCACTTCACCCAGCATGCTCTTAGAACAAACTAATACGGTTGGTTCTTGGTAGGGATTAAGAACCTGTTCCTGGGGAAAAGGAAAAAACTATTTGATTTAAACCATACAAATTTACATTCAAGAAAGAGTGCTTTATCTTCCATGTTGGCTTGAGAGTGGAAAAGTGTTGGAGGTTCGTCCTGATTTAACCAAGTGTTAAACACCAAGGGCAAAGCTGTCAGATCCCTGAACTCTACAGACTGTCATGTCAATGAGAACTCTTTGAGCAAATGCTCTAGCTCTATTAAAAGTAGGTGTATAATAACTTTCCAGTGCCAGAAAGCTCTTTCACCCCCTACAAAGCCTTAGGTGAGAGCTTACAGTTGGCTTAAATTTACCACGCAGAGTTTTGTGAATTATGTCCGAAGCAAATTATAACTTCTGGCTTCCTTCCACCCTCAGCAGATGGAGTGAGGTCTGAACTCCACATATTCCATCACTCATGCGCCCTGAAGAAAGACGAAGGGCCGTGCAAGGCAATAAAGGACAGGTTCTACTTTGACATTGACACAGGTCGCTGTGAACTCTTTGAATACGGAGGCTGCCAAGGCAATGCAAACAATTTTGAGACCCTGCAGGTGTGTGAGGAAATGTGTCTTGTGAAAGGTAAGGCAATATTTACCTGACTTGTGCTCTTCTATGACAAACAAAAACAAATACAAATATGACTTTTTTTTCATAACTTGTGTAAAATAACCTTTAGATTCAGTGCATCTTTCGGAATGAGAAAGAGGCTTTTGTGTTAGCCAATTCCATTTTCTCTCAGCATATTGGATGGCCTGACCCAGACTCATGTGTCATGACAGTTTTCCACACACCCATGCTACAAACAGCAATCCAGATAAGCATATCTTGGGCAAAGTAAATGCAAAGATTACTAATATAGTATTTGGCAATAAGTTATGAGAGACTGTGCTATATTGTGAACGCGTCAGAGCTAAGGAGCGTTTTTAGGTTCAGTGCGCAGCAGTGTATTTACTCATAATATTGCAAGGTTTTGAGGGGTTCACTGCTTTTATGAAATGCCCAATACATAACAAAAATATTAGGGAATTGGATTATTTTAATAAACAAATTCATTATGTACAACAAGTTCCAAAAGTCTGAAAGTACTTGTGAAAGTGCTTCTGTTTTGCATTTTTCTAACAGTGATGTTACTGTTAAAGGCACAATATGTAATTTTCGCCGCTGGAGGGCACGTATTCAAAATAAACATAGGCAAAGGCATAGTTTGATGACGCCGTGACTGAGTGTGGAATCATGGGAGTTGTCGTCTTCATCCCCACAGCCGATGCAATCCGACGGGACTCGGGCAGAAATCATGTTCATGGATGAGCTAATGATTTATTAACGTAGTAGAATGAAGCAGGGTGAGGATGAAAGCCGTCGAAGCGAAACGAGGCGCTGAATGAGTGTGACACACTGCTCGAAAGCAGCGGAGCTCTTATTATGCCACAGTCGACCGCTTCCGCTTCTTCCGGTCGTGCGTATGTGGGGAGTACAAAAACAGCAGTGCTGTTTTATCATACTAGATACATTTGAAAGTTCTGTTATAATGCTACTCTGTGCGGTCGTCACCTGTCTAATAAAACACACAACATATTATAGCGTCTTTGGTGTTTCCATATTTTTTACAAAACAAAACCGGAAATCGAGGGGTTATGACGTCATTGGCA